CGACCCCGAACAGTGCACTGCTCCGCGCCGCCAACAAGCGCGCGGTGCTCTCCTGCAGAGTGCGGCGGCGGAGGTTCAATCCCGGTTGCCGCCGAAATCACGAGTAACGACATGGGGCATAAACATCGAGGAGTGCAGTAGCGCCGCAGCGCCACGCCCCGCCCGGCCCGCCAGCCCCCCGAGGGGCACCGGGGGAGCACCACGGGGGCACCTCCACCATGCCTCCGCCATGCCTGCAGGCTTCCCCGCCCGTTTTTCCAGCCCGTTTACTCCTCCTTCTTCTCCTTCTCCTGAATCCTTTTGCCGCCCCGGTGGCGCTACTACGCTGCTATACGAGGGGCTATGGGTAGCATATCGATCGGCACTGCGCCGTCACTGCCGTGGTGCGGCCGTCATGCCGCGTGGCCGCGCTGGGCGCCACCAAGGTGGTCACGCAACGGACACGCAGCACGCTAGCACCCTTTGGGCGCCCACACAGACACACACAGACACACATAGACACACACACACACACACACACACACACACACACAGACAGACACACACACACACACACACACACAGGCGTTTAGCCTAGTGTCGCTGCAAGGACGAGCCGGGCGATGCTCGCGCGATGAGCGGTCATGCAACGCCCCCCGACGCCCCGTGGAACGCGCAGTGGGCCAGAAGACCGGTGGAGGCGGCCGAAACTCTGGACGCGTTTTGAGCTCCAGAGTCGCTTAAGCGGGACTCGAACCGAACGTGTGACCCCACCAATGGATGCTCTTCGAACGGTGGGGTGAGGTAGGCACGACGTTCTCTCCCTCGCTCGCTCTCTCTCTCTCTCTCTCTCTCTCTCTCTCTCTCTCTCTCTCTCTCTCTCTCTCTCTCTCTCTCTCCGACGTGACGTCCCGGCGCTGGTAATGCTTTATCGTAATCAGTCCCAGCCAGTATCAGCCCACAGTGCCTGTGTGTCCCTTATCATTGCGAGTAGAAGTGTCTGAGTGAGGTTGATCCGAAATGATGCATTTTCCTTTTCGCTTTCGAAACGCTGAAACGTTTCCGAGTCGACGGTCTGGAGCCGTGCCAAAGCGATGACGGAGTCAGATCTCTATCAGGACATTTGGATGTCAAAAAGCCGGAAACCAGTGGAATAATTTTGCAATGTCACGAGTCCAGCCGATGAGCGCAGAATTCTGCGGTTTAAACCAAAATAATTTTATTCCGAGCCTGGGGAAGGAATCTAACATGTTTCAGTTCTTAACAATACCTTCAGGGTTACTTTTTTTTTCAAAAACTCAAATTTTTTTTTGTTCATCAAAATTTACAGATTGTCAAAAACTCAAGTTTTATATTTTTTTCGAAAATCGAAATTTATAGACCACAAAAATTGGAACAGGAGTCTGAAACGTGGTTTCTTGCACGCCCTTTTCCCTGAGAATTCCACTCTGTAACAAGACGACTCGGATCGTGGAGGAGGGGGAAGGGGGGCGTAGGTCGTCGTGGACGCAGAGTGTGTCGCGACCGTGCCAGCAGCGGTAGCAGTCGATCCACCAGATGGTGTGTAACGGGTCTCCAAGTCACACACACACACTCACACAGACAGAGAGACAGAGAGAGAGAGAGAGAGGGAGAGAGACGCACAAAAGCGCGCGGGGCATAACAGCACTCTATTCGAATAAAAGCCGCGGCTCTCATCACGGTGGACGCTTTGTGTGACCCGTGCGCAGCCGGTGCGTGGCGTGTGCGCGTGTGTGTGTGTGGCCCGCGTGCAGCGTGCATGGCAGCGTGGCGCTGTCCCAGCCCGCCAGCGCGCCAGCGCGGTGCTATTGACCTCCAGGCAGCTCTAGCGCTACGCACAGCCCTACGCGCAGCGCGCCGCGTGCGCCCAGACACACACGCGGAGAACACGGACACTTGGCGAACTTGCGCGGCACACTGCAAACGGTCTCACAGTGCAGTGCCGCAGCGCGCCACACACACTGCAAGTGCATCGCGGTGCTCTGGCCAGGGAAGGCCGGCCGCTTAGGGAGGGCCCCCACGACTTGCATCTCGCGCCTCTCTCTGTCTCGCTCTCTCGCTCTCGCGGGCCCAGTGGACCGGGCGTAGCGGCATCCTTCTTAGCCCAGTTACATTAGTTCAAAGTGCATGGGGGACCCTAAAAAAATTAGCAAAAACGCGCCGCTTTGGGGATCGATAGTACCACCCATAAGCATCAAATCCTGAAAATTCCCAAGAATTCCCATCATGCATTCTCCCGGGAACGGCGTTCAAAGTCCGCCATTTTGGATTTTGGGGCCCAAGTGGTTATCAGCCTATACCGGCCAAACGGTTCGTCCGACAGAGTCGCCCGACGGCTCAAATTAATCGTCATGCATAGAGCTACAATCTGCATTAGTCGGATTTTGTTTTATATCAGTACACACTGGAAAAATTTTACACTTAAGTGGAATTTTTGATTTTCTGGAAAGTCATATCCATCTTTGAGTCCACTTTCCTCTTTTCTTGTCAAGATATCGGTACAAAGTGCTTCTCTATGCGTTGTTGGCCTATTTTTTCCGAACAGATTGGTATCTAATTGATCCCTGTGGGACCAATATTGGCCGAGATAGAGCGCCGAGACTTGAGCGCCGTGACCCGGCGGGAGGCATATTTTGTACCCCGGCGCCAACCTTCAAGTCGCACTATCTCGCTCATTAATGATCGCACAGGGTTCGCTCTTACACGAAAAGAAGCACAAAAGTCTGCCCTACAACATGGATGTATTGCATTTGAACTCGTACTCATCGCGTTTCATATAAAAGCGGAAAAATCCGGAAATTTTGGTGTTTTGTCAGGGTTTGTCTTGGTTTTCGACCGATTTGGGGCAGAGTAACGATCTAGATAGAAACTTTACGTTATCCCAGCTGTCAAGCACTCTTTTCTGAAGCGCTCGACGCTTCTCACGTCATTTTCCGTCAAACTATACCCGTTAAACAGCTAGCATTCAAAATCGGCGCGTGCAGCAAGCGGGTTGCCTACCTGCCCCTTAGGGGACTGCCATGCACCAAGCCAATCAAGCACGAAAAAGTGCTGTAAATTCGGACAGGGACGTGCTAATGGGCTGAACTTTTGGGATCGGGTAAGGTTTATGACGTAGATACTTGCCTCAAAATTCCCAAAGCACCCCGGGACCAGGCTGGCCGTTACGCCTGTCCAATGTTCAAATCGTTGTTAAAATGTAGGGCTTATGCATACCCACCGTAACTTTTAACCAATAGGGCCTGGTTCAATGGGGTTTCTTTTGCAGAACGCACCCTAAGACGCCCTACAATAGTTATTAAAACATGTTTTGTGATCCGAGCTCAAGTATGGACTCTACAGAGGGTCAAAGGCAGCAAAAAACTGCATCATGTGCCACTTTGGCCTTTCTTTGCTGCCTTTGACCCTCTGTAGAGTCCATACTTGAGCTCGGATCACAAAACATGTTTTAATAACTATTGTAGGGCGTCTTAGGGTGCGTTCTGCAAAAGAAACCCCATTGAACCAGGCCCTATTGGTTAAAAGTTACGGTGGGTATGCATAAGCCCTACATTTTAACAACGATTTGAACATTGGACAGGCGTAACGGCCAGCCTGGTCCCGGGGTGCTTTGGGAATTTTGAGGCAAGTATCTACGTCATAAACCTTACCCGATCCCAAAAGTTCAGCCCATTAGCACGTCCCTGTCCGAATTTACAGCACTTTTTCGTGCTTGATTGGCTTGGTGCATGGCAGTCCCCTAAGGGGCAGGTAGGCAACCCGCTTGCTGCACGCGCCGATTTTGAATGCTAGCTGTTTAACGGGTATAGTTTGACGGAAAATGACGTGAGAAGCGTCGAGCGCTTCAGAAAAGAGTGCTTGACAGCTGGGATAACGTAAGGTTTCTATCTAGATCGTTACTCTGCCCCAAATCGGTCGAAAACCAAGACAAACCCTGACAAAACACCAAAATTTCCGGATTTTTCCGCTTTTATATGAAACGCGATGAGTACGAGTTCAAATGCAATACATCCATGTTGTAGGGCAGACTTTTGTGCTTCTTTTCGTGTAAGAGCGAACCCTGTGCGATCATTAATGAGCGAGTTAGTGCGACTTGAAGGTTGGCGCCGGGGTACAAAATATGCCTCCCGCCGGGTCACGGCGCTCAAGTCTCGGCGCTCTATCTCGGCCAATATTGGTCCCACAGGAATCAATTAGATACCAATCTGTTCGGAAAAAATAGGCCAACAACGCATAGAGAAGCACTTTGTACCGATATCTTGACAAGAAAAGAGGAAAGTGGACTCAAAGATGGATATGACTTTCCAGAAAATCAAAAATTCCACTTAAGTGTAAAATTTTTCCAGTGTGTACTGATATAAAACAAAATCCGACTAATGCAGATTGTAGCTCTATGCATGACGATTAATTTGAGCCGTCGGGCGACTCTGTCGGACGAACCGTTTGGCCGGTATAGGCTGATAACCACTTGGGCCCCAAAATCCAAAATGGCGGACTTTGAACGCCGTTCCCGGGAGAATGCATGATGGGAATTCTTGGGAATTTTCAGGATTTGATGCTTATGGGTGGTACTATCGATCCCCAAAGCGGCGCGTTTTTGCTAATTTTTTTAGGGTCAAAATCTAATCTAACTGGGCTATCTCCCTCTGGCTCTGGCCGCCAACCTCTTTTCGAGGTGCGGCGTGGCGCGGCGCGGCGGCACCGCGTGGCTGTGGGAGGCGGGGCGGGGCGGGGCGGGGCGGGGCGGGGCGGGCGCCGGAGGGGGAGGAAGAGACGGGCGAGGGGTGGGGCGGGGACATGCCAGTCCCGTCCGCGTGCTGCCAGCTCGGCCGGGCGGCCTGCCGGCAGCGCCTCCCTCCCTCGCGGCGGCCGCGCCGCCTGCCTGCCTGCCAGCCCCGTCGGGGCGGCGCGACGGGGCCGGCTGGCTGGCTGCGGCTGCGCGGCGGCCCGCGGCACCAGAGCAGGCAGCACTCGCCTCCATTGAGGCAGTAGCGCGCAGACCTCTGGAGCGGAGCCCCGCGTCGCGCTCCGCCCGCCGCGCCGATTTCGTTCTCGCTACGCGCCACGCGTGTCCGCCCGGCGTCGCGTGCCGCCATGACGCGTCAGTGACTCAGCGTGTGTGTGTGCGTGTGTGTGTCGCCTGTTCTGGATAACCAACAACAACAACCGGCGTCGCCGCACTGACCAAGGTTTGTTGTTGTTGGCGCCGTGTAACAAGTCTCAGCCTGTCATCGGCTGGCTGGCCAGGCCGGCCGGGGTTTCGGCCGGCTGGCTGGCCTTCCCTGCCGATGCGACCGTCCATCGGTGTATTTCCGTCCGCAACAACCCTCCGCCCCGCACCGCGGCACCGCCACACCGCCTGCCGGCCGCGTTCAGAGCAGCGACTGATTGTCCGTGATTGGCCGACCAGCCGGCCGCGCAGCCTGGCCGCCGGATGTGGCCATTTTTCGGCGGCTCGTCTCCGCGGCCGCGGCCTCCACGGCCTCCTCCACGTGACGCCGAGGTTAGGGGCGGCCCATGGGGCGGCCGGTGCGCGCCGCGGCAGCGCGGGCCTGCCTCGGTGTGTGACGTAAGGGTTGGAGGTTGTTACGTCGCCCCGAACCACTTCTGGAAGGTCGCGCGCGCTGCCTCGCGACTGCCTTGCGACCGCCTTGCGGGAGGAGGCCGGGGACGGCCGTTCAAGCATCGGGATTGAAAGGATTGGAACAATGCGGTGGAAAGGCGCTTTGGAACGCCACGTGACTTCGTACGGCGCAATTGCCAAGTCGACGACCAACGGAGTTGCCGGCGGACGGACGGACGGACAGACAGGCGGACAGACAGGCGGCCGGCCGGACAGCTGGAGGGGCGTGGAGGGGCGTGGCGGGGCGTGGAGGGGCTCCAGGGTCGCCGCGCTCCAGACCGGATTCCGCCGCCGGAGCCGAGACTTGCTGGAGCGTCCTGGCTGGACACGTTTGACGCGGATGACGTCCACGATGCTTGCCTAATGCACGTGGACTTCATGTGTGTGTGTGTGCGCTCACACACACACACACACACACACACACACACACACACACACACACACACTCACCTCAAACGTCCACGCACGTGTTGACACTGCACGACATTGAAACGACGGAAGCGCAATTTGACCCGGCCGGCCCCTGTGTCGTCTGCTGGCGCTGCGAATCGCAGCAATGGCGAAATGACGGGCGATTTCCCGTCTCTCTCTCTCTCTCTCTCTCTCTCTCTCTCTCTCTCTCTCTCTCTCTCTCTCTCCTCTCTCTGGCGCGTCACGCGGCCGTAGTTTTTCATAAGGGACCGTCCGCGGCGCGCCAAGCTCGGGTCGCCTGTGAATATGCATGAGGAACGGTACGCGCGTGTCGAACCGGTGCGGCTTGCATTCCGTCAAACGCGCACAGGTGACATGTGTGCGGGCTGTCTGTCTGTCTGTCTGTCTGTCTGTCTGTCTGTCTGTGTCTGTTACAAATTCATCTCATGTTACAAATGGACATCGTCTAACATTGCCCCTACGATTGTCAGTTTCGAATCCCAATCCCAATAAAAACGCGTCTTCGAAACTGAACTGTCTGTCTGTTCGTCTGTCTTTTTCTGTGAGTGAGTGAGTGAGTGAGTGAGTGAGTGAGTGAGTGAGTGAGTGAGTGAGCGAGTGAGTGAGAGAGTGGAGTGAGAGGCCCTGGGATGCATGGCGGGGCGTGACGCGGGGCACGAAGCCTGACCAGGGAAAGTTTTGTGTTCGATAGGTAAGCCTACGTGGGGTCGGTAGGCTTCATGAGGCATTCCTTGGCGGGTTAGGTATGCCGCGCGAGTGAGTGTGAGAGAGTGCTGCGAGGATTGATAAGCTTTCAACGTTCGCGCGCCATTTTGGAACTACTTTTTTTGCGTCTTTGAAGTTTTTGAAATTTTAAGGGTGAGATGCGTCCTCCCCTTTCGCTTTTCGGTGATGAGTGACTCATTCTGCGTCACGACAGTTACTTGATTTCTTTTTTTACAAAGCTCCTCACGGCGGTGGCCAGTCTGTTATCACGCAGTGAGATTAGCAGAGTGTCCCACACACGTCCATTCCGAAGCATTGACTCAACGGAAAAAGAAAAATCTTTCTTTGAAAACCCGCAAGGAGTGAAAAACATCCTTCTTTTACGAGTGCGCGGGAAAACTTGAGTGGAAAGACCGTGCCTCGGCGAAAATGGGGGTACTTTGCGTGACTGTAAACTGTTGTTCTCACTCATTTTCATATGCAAATATCAAAATGGGAGCCGAAACAATGCCCTTCGACTCAAATCCATAGTTACTGCGATAACGACCCTAGAGAATAACTCAGAAACGTCAAAACTTAGGAAACGTCGAAACAAAGCTTTTGCTCGCATGAAAAAAATAAATAAGCAAATTGCAGTTTTGGTGTGCGTCTTCCGCAGTTCCCTGTGTAAGCTTGTATCGGCGAGCCTGGCCATTCGTCTCCAGCACCTGTCGTAAATATGCACAAGACCAGTAAAACATTACGACGGCCTCGCAGCCGACCGTCCCCCCTCCCCAACCCTGCCCCGCCTTTCGCTATAAAAGGGAATAAAGTTGGCTTTCCGTCAAGGAACGACGAGAGAAGCGTGGGGGACTTTTCTCTCTCGGCATTAGCCTTGAGGCAGTCTCTCTTATTGATAGTGTGGTGATACGGCTTTTGAGCCTTCCACCACCCTTTCTGTGCACTAAGTCAGGAGCTCCAATTATCCACCGCGGCGATACCCCGCGCGTAGATCCAGCCGCCAGCCCAGACGCGCGGCAGCGATACCCCGCGCCAGCAGCGCGCCGCGCCTCCACTGTAGCGCGCCGCGGGCGATCGCGCGACCCGATCGTGTGCGATCGAGACCGATCGGGAGCCGAAGCGGTCCGCCGGGCTGACCCCGAAGCTGAACCCGAAGCGGGCCCGAAGTCCTCCGCCGGGCCCTCGGCCCGCGACCCCGAGACCTCCGCGACTCCGAGCGGTCCGGTCACTCTGAGTCCAGCGGTAGCAGCGACAGGTTGTCCTCTCTGCGCACTCGTCCCGCGTCGCGTCGCTCCGACCGACGCTCCGTACTTGCAATTGTACCAGTCTGTGTTGTCTGTACCTGAATAAACCTTGAGTTTACCAGCCATACCTCCTACTCTCTCTTCGGTTCACCTCCCCAAACCCGCACCCTCACAATAGTGTCCGTTTTTCGCGACACTGCATCACGGTCAAGGACTTTGCTTTTAGGGCCGGCGCGCCGTAAAGATAGGCAACAAAGACTCCAGCCGCCAACCAGAAGGCGGAGGAGGGGGGGGGCGTCCATAAACCTCTCGAAGGCTGTTCATAGAGGACGTCGCTTGTTTCCCGAGGATTAAAACCAGAATCCTTTCTTCCCATCAGGCAACCCGCAGTGCGCGCGAACTTGTCTGAAAGTCTGCCGCGGGCCGAAAGTTTGACAAAACTCACACCACTGGCAATTTTTGCGCGCGCAGGGCAGGCGCCTGCTCCGCTGGGAAGGGGGAGGGACATTTATCCCCGTTTACGTTTCGGACAGCGTGCTCGACGCGACGCGACGGAGCGCCGAGTGACTGCGACGGACTGCGAGCCTGTTGCCTGTGAGTCGTGGCGAGACGAAGACGACAACTGGGTCACTCTCCACGGGTGCCAATTTCTGGTGAATTCGGTGTCCGAACCAAAGGTATCGATCCTAAACTCACTTGTTAAGCACTCAAAAATTACCCATCATTCCAAGAAGGTCAAGAAACAACGAAAAGAAAATTAAACCTGCGTAAAAGAAAAAATATTTATATCAGTTTTGATATTAGTCAATGCCCATCTTAACCTGTAATAAAATGTTTTCTGAAGCTCTAACGTGTAGTTTGTGTGCCGTAATGTACATTTTCCTTCCCCGCGCTGCGACCTTGCGTGCGAACGCTGGGGCGGGCCTCGGGAGGGCCTCGGGCGGGGCCGCTTCAGCCTCAAGGGGCTTTATGGGGGCACGATGGGGTTTTCCACATTCAAATGGCCCAGAAGGCCAGAAGGGCCAGGGGGCGGGGGAATTGGCAACCAGGAGAAATGGAGTCCAGCTGTACATGACCGATACGAGAACACAACCCGTTCCTTCTCTCTCTCTCTCTCTCTCTCTCTCTCTCTCTCTCTCTCTCTCTCTCTCTCTCTCTCTCTCTCTCTCTCTCTCTCTCTCTCTCTCTCTCTCTCCGAGGGGGACCGCCCAGGGAGCGCGGCGGCCCCGCCCCGCCGGTTGCATCGATTGCACGCAGAGATGCGTTGCACTGCAATGAGCGCAATCAAGGTTGCTGCATTGTTGTGACGAAAGTCGTGACTGACTGGCATCCCGTGATTATACCGGCCGAGGCACACACTAGTACGGTGCCCCGTCGAATTTCCAGTGTGCTCGACTCGCAACGGGGTTGTGGCGAGAAATGTTTGACGGACTGCTCCAGATTGTGGTGCACTGCATGCAGGCCGTGAAGGCGGCTCGGTGCGGCCGCACTGGCTGCAGGGCTGGACGCAGGCTGTCTCCCTCGCACCCACACGGGCCTGGCAGGCCGCCGCGTGAGTGCGACAGAGCTGCCCACTGGCCGCCGGGGCCCGGCCGGTGCCCCGAGTGGGGCCCACTACCGCGGGCCGCGGGGCCCCGCGCGGGGCCGTGGGGCGCTCGCTTGAGACGCCCGGCCTCATTCCTCCAGCGTGGTTCTGGGTTCTCGCTCCAGCCAGCCGGCCAGCCAGCCGGCCGGCAGAGGGCGGGGAGCACTTTCGGACCTGCTCGGCTGACTCTGCGATTGTTTTTTGGTCGATTCGTATAGAAAGTGCAGTCGTGGGGCTTGTCGTTCTGTGGGGCCTCGGTGAGATTTTGTCGCCTTTGAGTGTCCGAGTCGCCCGATTTTGGATTTCCGATCCCCAGCGTCTAGGGGTACTGTATAGTCAGCCGGCGGCGAGAGTGCTTGCCACCAAGTTGCCACGCCGTGGCTGCCGGATTTCTCGTCATCTCATCTTTTTCAGATCGTCCTCTGTGGATCTGCGACATGAAAACGAACGCAGGTGTCAATCACTCTGGGGTCTGCGTGCGCCCAGAATCGTCCGGTGTTCGCAGTGTACGACACAGCCACCTCAAGTCGGCGCGTTGGGCCCCCTGGGCCCCCTGGGCCCCAAGACGGGCCGGCGGCTCGCCTCGCCTCACCTGCGAAG